CAAAGCCCCCACGTCGGTGATGAGGACGCGCTCGATGAAGTAAGGGATGGGGGGGATGCGCAGGTCCCCGTAGAGCAGCGGGTTGCCGTGGAGGGACGACGTGCCGTTGATCCACACCGTGGCCACCACCTGCGGCAGGAAGGTGGCCATGGCCAGCGCCACCTCCGCGCCAGGACATTGGGGTGTCACCAGGACATCCTGCTCACTGGGACATCCCTGGTGACCAGAGCATCCTGTTCACAGGGATGTCTCTGCTCACCAGGACATTGGGATGTCCCCAGGCACCAGGACATTGGGATGTCCCCAATCACCAGGACATCCTGCTCACTGGGGTGTCCCCGGTCACCAGGACATTGGGATGTCACCAGGTACCAGGACATTCTGCCCACCAGGATGTCCCCAGGCACCGGGATGTCTCTGCTCACTGGGATGTCCCCAGGCACCAGGACATCTCTGCTCACCAGGATGTCCCCAGTCACCAGGATGTCCCTCCTCACCTCTCCTCACCTGGATGCCCCCAAGCACCAGGACATCCTGCTCACTGGGACAACCCTGGTGACCAGAGCATCCTGCTCACAGGGATGTCTCTGCTCACCAGGACATCGGGATGTCCCCAATCACCAGGACATTGTGTTCATTGGGATGTCCCCAATGACCAAGACATCTCTGCTCACCAGGATGTCACCAGGACATCCCACTCACTAGGACATCCTTGCTCACCAGAGCATCACCTGGTCACCAGGATGTCCCCAGGCACCAGGACATCTTGCTGATCAGGATGTCACTGGTCCCCAGGACACCCCTTCTCCCCAGGATGTCCCCCATGGCCAGGACACCCCTTCTCCCCAGGATGTCCCCATTCCCCAGGACATTCCACTCACTGGGATGTCCCCAGGACATCTCACTAACTGGGACATCCCTGGTCCCCAGGACATCTTGCTCACTGGGATGTCCCTGGTCCCCAGGAGATGCCACTCACCGGGATGTCCCCATTCCCTCAGTCCCCACGACAGCACCCCAGCTGCCGGGTGCCACCGTGCTCACCTTGGGGTGCCGCAGGAGCAGCTCGGCCGCCTCCTCGAAGTACTGGAGGTCGAGCTGTGCCAGCGTGCGCGGCAGGTCATCGTAGGCGAAGAAGGCGAGCGCCAGGACGGCGAAGCCCCGGCTGGCCAGCAGCCCCGCGCGGAACTCGATGAGCCCCCCTGCGCCCCCAAACAGGTCGATCACCCCCGGGAACGGTCCTGCTCCTGCGGGGAACCAGAGAGATGGTCACCAAGGGGGGACAGGAGCCACTGGTGCCATCCCACGCCCCAAGAGGGGACATTGAGGGGGACAGGGGCCATTCCACACCCCAAGAGGGGACATTGAGGGGGACAGGTGTCATCCCATGCCCCAAGAGGGGACATTGAAAGGGACAGGAGCCACTGGTGTCATCCCACGCCCCAGGAGGGGACATGGAGGGGGACAGGTGCCATTCCACACCCCAAGAGAGGACACTGAGGGGAACAGGAGCCACCCCGCGCCCCAAGAGGGGACATTCAGGGGGACAGGAGCCATTCCATGCCCCAAGAGGGGACATGGAGGGGGACAGAAGCCACCAGTGCCATCCCACGCCCCAAGAGGCGACATCAAGGGGGACAGGAGCCACCGGTGCCATCCAGCATCCCAAGAAGGGACATTGAGGGGGACAGGAGCCATTCCACACCCCAAGAGAGGACACTGAGGGGGACAGGAGCCACCCCGTGCCCCCAAGAGGGGACATTGAGAGGGACAAGAGCCACTGGTGCCATCCTGCACCCCAAGAGGGGACATCAAGAGGGACAGGAGCCACCAGTGCCATCCTGCACCGCGAGGGGGCCGGGAGCCACTGGTGCCATCCTGCGCCCCAAGACGGGACATCAAGTGGGACATTGAGGGGGACATCAAAGGGGACATCGAGGGTTCTCCATGCTCACCGGGCGGCAAGAAGAGCGCCCCACGGACCCTGCCCTCGCGGACGGGGACCCGCTGGACGCCGGGTCCCACATACCAGCGCTCGACCTGGCATGAGGCCAGCGGCTGGTCCTGGGGGGTGGTGACCAAGCGGAAGCCATCGAAGACCTCGAGGAGGACGAGGAAGGGGCTGCCGGCCACGTCGCGTTTG